TTAAAGCCACAAGAACAGACGACAATAGCCAGCCGGGGAAAGATGCAAAACAAACAGAAATGACAGGGGCAGCAGCACAGTAACAAGTAATAACCATGGAAAAGGAAGGTGCGGCAAACCTGACCCAAGTGTAAATCTCTCGTCACTTGCCCCCAATTCCCGAATCCCATCAAAAGGACTCTAATGCAGGGGACCCCACACAGGGAACCCCAAGAACATAGTAGGAACATGATACCACTGTCCTTATATTCCTATTATATTCCTACTTTTTTCTTGGGGTCCCTCACCCTAAACCCTAAACCCCAGTGTGCTCCAAGGCAAGGACGTGCCAGGGAAAGATGTGAGGCCCGTCAGCGGCCGCACCTGCAGACTGGCAACGGTAGACACAAAGAATTATCCCTTTAGGGATACTATACGGGTTATGTAGTGATAGGGCTTAGAGGGTCTAGGGATAATACGCCCATAATGAAAATCAAATGAAAATGGACATGGAAGACGAAATGGAGGCTGAGATTATCTAGGCGTTGAAGGGTTGATACTAAAAATCTCATGACACTTAGTACCTTCTACCTTGAGAATTATGCTGCTATAGCATATTGCGGTCATGCACGGTTTCTGGTATCAACAGTAATCTACTGGCCTTTGCTCAGCCAGGAATGAAGCAATGGATCCTTATAGTAATCCCTGCATGACCCAGTATCGTAGTTTCCAATTACTTTTACAATCCTAAACCCTAAACCCTATAGCAGTTTCCAACTTCTTTTGCATTCCTTCATTCACAGCTAACCAAAGGCCAGTCCATGGTCATGGCAAGCTCAAGCTCTCTTCAAGAGTTGCAAGCGAACGAATCTAAACTCCTTGAAAGCTCCATGATGGTAAGCCCTAAAGCCATATGAGCTATAGTCTATACTCCTTAAAGGGGGTTATATGGGGGATTATATAGGGGACTACTGTAGGGGATATTAAGGGGGATACTAGGAGTTTAGACTATGGCTCATATAACAGACATGGTTCTTATTCCTAAGCCCGAAACCCCAAACACCAAGCCCCCAAACCTAAACCTAAACCCCTAACTCCAAACCATAGACTACATTATGGAATTCCAGACTTTAGCCATCGCGTTGTACTTCCCTTGCGGGCTTTCAGAGAAAGTGGGCGGTTCTGAAAATGCACGTTACACTTTGGGACCCGGTCGATACATGGGGATATTCTTGGGAACGATATCTGGATGATAAAAGAATTTTGCTGAGACCCTCGTATGTCTGGCAGCAGAGGGCACCCACAAGGAGCAAAAAGAAGTTATAGCAACACGCTAGCTGCAGCTGTGATGTGGGGCTTACGGTTTCGCGTCGTCTGGGCTCCTGACTGTTTTAGACCATAAGGGAGCATCCGATAGCAAGACAAAGATAATCCAGAGTGGCAGTGGGTTCTCTGGGAACCGTTCATGGACCCTTGACGCAGTTCATGCTCTGAACACCTTTGGCGTCTCAGTGCTTCTGGAATGTCACGGCGAAGACCTGCTTTAAACAACAGAATACTGCAGTGCCCTACTATACTACTTGGAACACCAAGACCATCAACAGCTCGCCTTTCAAGTATTGTAGATGGACACTCATTAGGAGGCAGAAGACCATAGTCCAAGCCTGCAATGGCTTCAACTGCAGAAACTCATGCTTGAAAAGCACACACTGGTACCTACAGTCTCCCAGCCCCTCAACTGCAAAATTGCTACCTATCCCCTCAACTGGCATGCAGAACTGAGGAGGGCGCTTCCTGTGCAAAGGCGCTCTTGGCAAGAAAGCCAGCAATGCAGACCACCAGCTGTGCTGCACGGCAAGGGGCCATGGCGACTTCTTGCTGGCACTGTCAAAGGCAGACGCAGCTTTGCCGCACTTTCGCACCAAGTCGGCGTTGTCTTCAGAAGCTTCTGATGTGCATGCGCGGTGGGGGCTGAGCAATCATTTTTGGTACGTGCTACTTGCTGCTAGCCTGAGGCATAGTTCTCATCTTAGAAGAGTCTGGACAGTGATCACCATAACAAACACAGCGCAGTAAGATGTGGGCTGCAACTGTCTGGTCCAAAATGCGGTGGCGTGCAGAAATATGGGGAAAAGCTTCCAGTGGTGATCGAGGACATGTCGACAGTATTTCGGATTTGGGGCGTATGCATGTGGCTAGTCTCGGGCTGCAAGAACATCGGCAGCCAGGCACTGCGACTGCCGGGTATGGCTATGCATTGAAGGCGCTGTCCCATTACTGGATTGCTGCTAGGGCACTTAAATTAAGCTACCATAAAAGGATGAGTAGATAGCAAATACAAGAGTTTACGTACTATAGTAGCTTAGTTCAAGTTTCTGAACAGCAAACCATAGCAGCAAACATGATTCTAGTGAGCCGAATGTCCAGGCAGACATGAGGATCCCCCAGGGGCTTATCAGACTCCCCCCGATGGAGGCCGCCTTAGCTCGAAGACTTTAAGTTTGTACCCTTAATATTTGTACCCCTAAGTTTTGGGTCCCAAATACCCTTATTGAGGGCCATATTCCATGGTTTAGGGACCCAAAACCCAAGGGTACAAACCCTAAGGGTCCAAAGGAAAACTCCCTGATAAACCCTGAACCCTAAACTCTACCTTAACTGGGATCCTTATCTTCATCTGCTCTGCGGGACCCGTAATCAATCATGTTACCTGATATGTATTGTACCCATTGGGGTAATATTAGGGTCATATTGGGGTTATGTTGCGGTTATATTAGGATGATATTGGGGTTATATTGATATAGAAGAGGGCGACAGGATGCTAAGGGATACTTCGCTGAGGCAGCTTGAAGAAACCGACCACACTTCTGGGTCCTACCCAAATCCACCACACTTCTGGGCCACACTTCGAGGTTTCAATGGCTTCCAAAGCGCAGGCTGTTAGGATTTCGCATGAATGTTTGCAGTGCAAAGCAGGGCAAAATGATGCGGATAGTGCTCCTCAGGCTACCCCCCACATCTTGAAACCTGGAGCCCTTAACTTCCCGTACAGCCCGAACATAGGGCATTCATGCAGACTAAGACTAGGTCTCGTAGAAGGCCTTCTCTTGCACCACCCAGGAAGAAACCCAAATGCATAAACAAACATGAAAGATGTATATACATATCTATATCTATATATATATATATGGTAGTTTCCCAAATTAAGGGAACCCCAATATACTATAGTCCTTATTATAATAGCCCGCCAAATGGTACCCCTAATTTTGGGAAACCCCCATATATTTAGAATGTAGACTTGCCTCAAGGGATCCCTGAAAACACGAAAGTATGTGGGCAGAATCCGGTTTCAACAGATCTTTACATTGAGGCCGCTCAATATCTTCCCAAAAAAAGTAGAAAAGGGCGAGGGTACCAATCAAACCAAGCCCTACATAATCCGCTGTAAGGGTCCGCGTAGTCCTTTTGATATTCTCTATAAAAACGTACCTAAACCCTACATCCTTCCTACGTCCTAGCAAAAACATAAACATATATACATATAATATTGGTGTTTCTGGCTAACCCGTGGTCAAAAAAGCATGTTTGGATTGGGGCATGTTTCGCGGGTATGTTTCGGGGTATGATTCGAAGTATGTTTCGGGGTAATTAGGTTTCGAGGTTCTGGGCTCTTGACGAAGGGACTTTATGGGGGCATATATCGAGGTATGTATCGAGGTATGTATCGAGGTATGTATCGAGGTATGTATCGGGGTATGTATCGGAGGGGTCAAACATGCTCCTTTTCATGAATTCCTGACTCCCAATTCATGGAAAGACTTATATATTCCTCATCACTAGGGGCCATAAGGGCTAAGCCCTTTTTTGCTATGTTCCACTCATAGCAGACCTGGCCTCTTCCACGTGCTTTCCGTGCAAGAAGGTCTGCTTCAGGCTGTAGGCCAGGACGGGCTGCCCAAGGGTTCAGGGTTTAGGGTTAGGGGTTTAGGGTTTGTGGATTTAGGATTTAGGGTTGAGGGTTTAGGGTCTAGGGCTTAGGGTTTAGGGAGGGTTTAGGGTTTAGGGCCGAGGGTTTAGGATGGCCTGCCCAGCAGTTCACATGATCCCCTCTGTTAAATACACTACATTCCAAGGAGACCTTAGAAGGGGGAACCTAGAGGTTATGCAGAGAGTCTGTCCTAGCTGGGGGGGGGGTCCCTTGAGGATCTCCAAAAGAATGGAAGGGGCAATAGATAGAGTCCAACTGAATTCCTCCAAGGCCAAACCTCTAAGGAATTTGGAACCCCAGTAGAAATTATAATTTCAGCTAAATATTAGGCTTCCAGGTAACAGAAATTAAAAAATATTTTCAGGAACCCTGTAGAAACCCCCAAGACCGATTATTTAGGATTTCGTGTTTGATGCCCGGAGGAGTGCTGGGGGGATCCTACTTCTTTAAGGGTGCATATGGGAGTTTCCCAAAATNNACCATTTTGGGGGTCCTAATAATAAGGACTATAATATTTTGGGGTCTGTATTAGGGTTCCCTTATTGTGGGAAACTACCATATACAATGACCTCTGGTTGAGATGGACACCACGGAAAAAAGTCTGTGTTACCGATGCGACAGCCTGCCATGTGTCGTTGGAATACTTGAAGTTCATGTTATCCACCTGCCAGCAGAGGATAGCAGGTGAGAAGGCATGATTTGGGTGATGTCCCCTATCCACAATGGTGACCGCAAGGGATAAAGGGCATGTTCTAGCGCCGCTACATTTTTGCCTACTATACCACACTTAGTGTTGGAAGGACCACCTAAAGTATGATGTTATTCTGGTGTCAAACCAAAGTCGACCTACAGCTCTTCGCAAATTCCGACTCCATTCGCCCTAAACCCTAAACCCCTATTGGGGATCCTGAAAGATTCCTTATCATACCCACTTCGAAGCAACGCTAAAGCACACACGCTGCAGTAGGGAACACTTTGCTGCTTGCGGCTGCGGGTCTGCATCATGTATGCCAGAAAAATGGATAGCACCCGCCAGAAGCGCATCTTTGCCATAGTGCCCGCAGTAGTTTGCAAGGATGATTGCACCTGGGCAGGAAGGGCGCTACTGCTTAGCGCTGTTTCTGCAATTGTTTTTGGCTGTCTCAGCACCTCTTACACCTCCAACCCCCCTGACAGCAGCCCGACGTACCGTCAACAAGCCCAACCATTTGGGAGCTCCTGAAAAAGTGGTTCCCTCTATATGGGTGGTTGTCAAAACTATGGTCCCTTTTTGGTTACCTAAATATTAGGTGCCGTATTATAATAAGGATCCAAAAGGCCAAAAGGGGACCATAATTTTGACAACCACCCATACAACCAGATGTGAAATGCTCCTTAACAGGACCCCGAGGAAGTGAGCACTAATTTCCGGAAACCTCTGCAAGAGATTCTCTTGCGTGGGATTGAAACAGTGGGTTCTTGCAAGCGCTACCTACAATGCTAAATCCGGAGATGGGGCGCATTGAAATCCCCTACATTTTTCCTCTACAAGACCTGTTGTTGTCGCGTGCTTTGGCCCTGACAGGCTTCAAATTTTGGACCTTCTTGTTTTGCTACCTTTCTTGTTACTCGTATCATTTTCCCAACTCAGACCTAAATTTTGCACCTCGCGGCTCGCCAGGACATATCATCATACTACCCAGGTGCAGCTGCGGGTCCCTAATGTTGGGTGCTGAGTAGAAAATGGGTTCGGAATAGAGCTACATTCTGCCTGAACGGAATAAAAACATGAGTACGGAGTACAGGTAGTTTTTGTCTGAACAGACTAATAACCAGTCAGGAACGGAATAATTCCATGCTCTGTTCTGGAAACGCCTAAAGGTCAACATGCGCGAATGGAATCGATGATTTAGGCTTGCTGAAACCCATCCATATCTTATAAAAAGCCGCTTATTCGAACAGCCCAGGCAATCATTCCTGCGGAGAGGTAGTGTACCAAGACCGCCGGAACGGAATAACTGCGATGAAAAAGGGTACGGAATTATCGGGGCCCTGGCAGGCATAGACCCAAGAATCCGAAAACAAGATTAATGTTCATTTAATTGCAGATATATCCCAAGCCTTCGGCCTGGAGATCCGAGTCCTTCTGAGCCCAAGAGAGAGTCTTCTTTTACAAGGTTTAGGGTTCAGGGCTTAGGGTTTATGAGTTCCTCTAGCAAACAAGATTGCCGAAATTTGATTCGGTGACCCCGGAATATTCAGAATCCTTACTTGTTTGGGGGGATCAGAACCCCCCATTACAATTGCACCCTCCAAAGAACCCTCAATACCTGATACCACGCGAGTCAAAGCAATCTCTTCCAGTAGAGTAGAAACTTGTGTGGCTTCCACGAAGTCCTAACATTCCTAACGTTGCAATTATGAACGCAAGCGCTGCAAGGAACGTTTGTTTGGCTAGCGAACCGCGCAACCTTCTGAACTACTGTACTCTGCGCGCCTATAAAAGCCTTCGAAAGAAGTCCTAATCCCATTATAGTAGTTTCCATTTTAGCTTCCATTATCCTTATATTACCCCAATATACTATAGTAGTTTCCATTTTCTTTTCCATTATTCCTTCTCCATGTCCTGGGCAGTCTTTGAGTCTATTATGCAGCAATTCCTTACCAGTCCTTGCGATGTCTGAAGCAGTCACAGCGCCCATGGAGTAGCCAGCTGCAAAGACCGCTGGCTTAGCAACACCTGCATAGAAGAGCTGCTGAGGAGGACGGAGAGGGGTGAGGGGGGAAGGAGAGTTTCGGGTTCTGGGGAGGAGGACTCGGAGGAAGAGAGGAGTGGCTAGTGACTATGACTATCCCCTGAAGCTTGTTTCTTAAAGAGTGCTAGTCTCCATTCCTTACACCCCACATGTTGAGCCTGGAGTCCCAGACCCTGCTTCAACCGAAAGCACCATGCCTGCGTCGCTCGCGACTTCCTTGAGGCACGGATCCCTTGGCTTCAAGGCGTCTTCGGGTTAGAGGGCAGAAGGTCGTAGGATTTGGGACTTGGTAGTTTCCCCGACAATAAGGGACACTGATAAAGACCCCAAAATACCACAATCCTCACCATAGGAACCCTCAAAATGGTGCCCCCAAAGAAGTGAAACCCCCATTTGCAAGTTTACACCTGGAACCAAAAACCCTGAACCCATGATCTGTGGCCTGAGGGTCTGGGGCATGAGGCTCTTCATTCCAAGTGTTTAGGGTTTAGGGGTTAGGGGTTAGGGTTTAGGGAATCTAGCAGAGAGTGAAGGAATGGAAAAGAAAATGGCAACTACTCTACCGGAGAACACATTGGAAAAGCAGATGGAAAGTCAAATGGGCAATGGAAAACGACATGGAACATGCAAGGGAGCTGATGCAGAATTCCGAGGTCCTTTGCGCACCCAGCTTCAAAATTCACACGCTGAGGTATGGAGTTTTGAAGCTGTAGGATTTCTGCAGCGCTTTGCCGGGTGCCGGGTGGATGTCAAACCCAACGGAGGTGTCCACATTACTGACGTGGACGGATCTTAAGATAAGGAGAGTTTCATTCTTGACAGGGGAGCAACTGCCTGGTAAAACCGGGGCCACCGGACGAAATGCCTCTTGGCTCATCAAATGTATGCACGAACCTCCTCCCCTAAATTTTACAAACCCCCCCACCTGCCTAATATCAAATATTCACTATATGTTGTAGTTAATACAAAGGGAATTCACATCTGATATTGGGGTGGATTAACAGGGGCTAGATGTTGACACCACAAGCCCGAGATGCATCCCCAAGCACCGAAACTGCGGTTTAGGGTTTGGGGTTTAGACCTCAATCAACTGACCTCGAGCTAGCACGGAATTGAGGGATGGACAACAAAATGGAAGCCTACTAGATTTGTAGGTGATATGCAGCCTAAGGATAGAATTCTTACAGCCTTACATTTTCCTGTAGCATTAAACATTCATAGATTTCTAATATACTTTCATTTCCTAGAATGTTTTACCATTAGACCTTAACCTACAGCTAATTATAATTCTACCATGGGATTTGCTTCTAGAAACTGAGATCATAGAGGCCCCTTGAATCCTAGGTCAAATGCATTAGCTACTGAAAAAAGGGGGTAGGTACAGGCTTTAGCTCTATTTAAACCCCAAAGCGATTGAGGTTTTAGGGCTTAGGGTTGGGGTTTAGGATTTAAAGTTTAGGGGATCCATTCCTTCAACCCTGAAGCTTGAGCCCTACAAGAATCACTTCTTCCTTCCTTGCTGACCAGAGGTAATATCAATCCCAGACCCCATAACCTGCCGCGAACTGACGCAGTTTAGGGTTTAGGCTTGAGGGTTCAGCGTTTAAGGCTTAGGGTTGAGGGTTTAGTGTTTACGGCGTAGGGTTCAAGCTTAGGATTTTATGTTTAGGATTTAGGGTTTAGGGGAACCGCAAAGTAGTGTCCATAGATTTTGGGAACCCTAGGACCCCAGCATACCAGAATCCTCAGTGCAAATGTTCAAGTTCCATGCCGGCTTGGGGAAGATAAGCCTAAACCCTGAACCCTAAATCATCAAACCGTCAGACCGCATTCCAGGTGGCCAAGTGGCTAGGGTTTAGGGCTTAGGGCTGAGGATTTGGGGCCTAGGGTTTGGGATGATTGTATTTAACTAGGCGGAGAAGCTCTCTTAGGGTGTAGAATATCCTCACTTGAACTGCTACTCAGGTAGGGTTAGGGTTTATGGCTTGAATAAGTAGATTACGAAAAAGGTCTAGCGCAATCCTGCATACTAACGGAAAGTGGTCATGGATTATGACCTACCTTACATGAGACCTGAGACACCCCAGACTCCCAACCCCAGTCATATGTCTAAACTCCAAAACGCGACAATCCCGAAAATGTCTCGACCCCCCAGCCCTAAACCCCAAACCGATAAAGACCCCCGTCTCCGTTTGCCAGGCTGCATAGTCTCTAGTAGTCTTCGGAAGTCTGTGACACGCGCGCCGTGAAACAGATTCGCATTGACTCGGGTATCCATGGTTCCTGCTCAAATGAGAAGGCTTCCCACGATTTATTGGGAACCCTCATGTTTTGGGGTGCGGATGATTTCGCTTACAAGCCAACGACGCGAGCTACACGGAAGCTCCAGCAATATCCGGAGGCCAAGGAATCATGTCCTGTGTGGTGCAAACATTCCAGTCTTCCCGAGTTCATAGCATGGCTCTGGGCAGAGACTCAAACGTGCAGGGGTCTTGACAAGGCTTCACATGACCAATGACTTTCATTGGCGACCCCCTACTTCGACATCGTGTATGTACACTCATGTAGAGTCCATTTCATTCTCCACGTTCCTCTCCATCTGATTCTCCAATATTGGGCTAACATCCCCATATATCCCTACATAACCCTTTGAAGGAACCTAGGACCTAGAATTTCCATGTCATCTTCCATTTTCCTTTTCCAGTTGATGCTCCAGCATGAGGGATAATATCCCTAAAGCTTAAACCCTGGACCCAAACCCTACATCCTAAATAGTAGTTTCCATTTTCTCTTTTACTATCCCTATTCAACCTATACTCTAACTTCCTAGTATCCCCCTTAATGAGCTCTATGATACTCCCCTATCTCATCCTCTATATAACCCCTTCAAGGAGTTTAGACCCTACACCCTTAACCTCACAGTATATAACCCCCTTTACGGAGTTAAGGCCATGGTACATATACTATCCATAACCCCTATACCCCAAATCCAAAACCCCAAACCCCAAACCCCAAACCCTAACCCCTAAACCCTGTCCGGTGGTACCCATGGGATTTGAATCAGGTTTGGGCTGTGAGGTTCGGAGGCTGCCTCGAGCCACCAGGATCACCACCGTCATGTTGGCACCTGAGCTTATATGGGGATTTCTGAAAATCAGGGGTATCATTTTGGGGTCCCAAAAAGGAGGATTATAATGTATTGGGGTCTACCTTGGGGTCCCGTAATTATGGGAAACTACCATATCTAATAGTCTAGACCTAAGGCTTAGGGTTTAGGGTTTAGGGTTTAGGGTTAGAAGTATGGGCCCCTACTATGGGCCCTTAGGCCTTCTTTGGCGGGATCTCAGGGACTTTTAAGGGCACATAGTAGGTAGATAAGGATCCAGAGGTAAGGGCCCGTGCTAAGCCCTAAACCACCGTCAGGTTGGCACCTTAGTCTTTTCCATCGGCGGCGTCCGCTTGCCCAAGCAGGCGGATTGTGCCACCTCACTACCCTGAACCATGCTGGTCCCTGAGCCCTAAACCTGAAATAGTGTTACCAGCAAGCTGGACACTATGGCCTGTTGCTGCTGTTGCTGCTCATGCTGTGGTGGTAGCAGTGGCTCTTCAAATTTCAGGTTCTTGTCTTTTTCCATGCTTATGTATTTGCTTGCGCGCTTGCATGCATGATCGTGCATGCGTGTTTGTATGCTTGCTTGCTTCTTGCTTGCTACTTGTTGCCGTTGCTGCTGCTGCCGCCCACGCCACCGCCGCTGATGCTGCTGCTGAGGTTGGCTTTTCTGGGTTGCTGTTAAGGAACTTAAATTGAGTTACTATATTGGGGAAACCCTATTATTTACTCTATATACATATACGCAGTATGGTAACTTAATTTAAGTTCCTTAACAGCAACCCAGTTTTTTGGCGGCGTTTGCTGTTGCTGTTGCTTGCGTTGGCTTCCACGATCTTTGCGCGCTACTGCTCCGGGAATGTCAACCACCAACAACCGATGTACTTCTGGAAAACTTCAAGGCATGCGCATCCTGACTTTATCACAGCAAGCGGGCATTTTCCCACCCATGTATCCGTCTGCACGATCGCCCGCAAGCAAAATCACATTATCAGGTCATTCATGTGTTCACCGAACATGTGCTGGTTTCCCAAAATACTCGAACCCCAATCTAAACCCCAAAATACGATGGTCCTTATTATGGGGACCCCCAAAAGTGTACCCCTAATCTAGGGAAACCCTAATCCCCATAAAAATCCCAGTTTCCATTTCATTTTCCATTTTCTTTTCCATTTGATTCTCCATTTGATTCTCCATCATAGGTGGATAATCTACCCTAATTTAGCCCGCATGTAGCTGACATTTGCCGCCATTTCTCAGTGCTGCACGGCAAGTAAGGTATCCAGCCTGAGATCTGGCATTGCAGCTACAAATTCATGGATGTTAACGACAAAAGCGGGTTTAGGGTTTAGGGTTTAGGGCTTAGGGGGAGGGGGGGGGGGGAATTTCTCAACATTGGGATGCTTCTAGCGGCATGCCTAGGCAGCTTCCCTTTTCTAGGTCTAGCGGAGCTGCGGCAGAGGAAGTGTTTTGGGTTTTGGGTTCCATCCTTGGTTGGGGGGTCTGCTCCAGGGAGTGTCATTGTGCTTGCAGGGGTCATAATGGGATGTTACTACTGTTGGTTTTAGGGTTTAGGGTTTTAGGCTTAAGGGTTTAGGGTTTTGGGGGTTTGGGGTTTTAGGGTTTAGGGGTTTAGGGGTTTGTGCTTTGGCTCAGGGAGGAGGGCTCTCTGGCACTGGCGCTGGAAGGACTACGAAGAAGTACAGCAACACTGATAACGACAGTCTGTGATGGCATACATGAGCTTTAGCAGCAAGCCAAAATAATTCGCAAAAAAGGAATCCATGAAAACAAGGAGGCGATCAGCGGCACGCTGCCGCTGAGGCGATTACCCAACAAAATTGAGTCCGTAGCAATACTTGTTGCTCATGATCTTGCTGTCCCTGTTTGCATAGCAACTCGTGCAAGTCTGACATCACACCCCATGCAGAATCCCATTAGGATCCCTTTGTGAATGCTCCCCCTACTACACGCACATGCACTTCCTTGATGTACATACGATTCGACATGTACAGTCGCATACGCTTCGCTTTCAAGCCGGGAACAGCATCCCAAACCAGTCGAAATTCAACATGTGGCACCAAAAACAACACCCCCAAATAGGCCGAGATTTCTGAGACCACCAAATTACAGGAGGAGGTACATTGAAAAAAACACGTTATGCATCAGGGAGTTTGTTTGGGAGCGAATGTGGCAATCGGCGATCGAGAACGGGCCCCTATTCAAAATCAAAGCCGAAGGATTTGAAGAAAACCCCCCGCAAACCCTGAGCCCGAAACCCTAAATCCCTTAACCCTAAACCCTAATCCCTAAAACCCTCAAACCCTCAACCCTAAACCCTACTTCTGCTTGCAATGCAATTATGACCCATTATAACCCATAAGTAACCCATTATAAGCCATAAGTAACCCAGTATAACCCATTATAACCCATTGTAACCAATTATAACCCATAAGTAACCCATTAACCCCATTACAACCCATTATAACCCATTATAACCCATTATAACCCATTGTAACCCATAAGTAACCCATTATAACCCATAAGTAACCCATTATAACCCATAAGAAACCCATTATAACGCATTATAACCCACTGTAACCCATTATAACCCATTATAACGCATTATAACCCATTATAACCCTTGTAAGCCAGTATAACCCATTATAACCCATTGTAACCCATTGTAACCCATTATAACCCATAAGTAACCCATTATAACCCATAAGTAACCCATTATAACCCATAAGTGACCCATTATAACCCATTATAACCCATTATAACCCTTTATAACCCTTTATAATTTATAACCCATTGTAACCCATTCTGCATTTGTCATTGCTCCTAAATCCCTAAACCCTAAATCCCTGATCCCTAAAACCCTGATCCCTAAAACCCTCAAACCCTCAAACCCTTAACCCCTAAACCCTAATCCCTAAAAACTCTCAAACCCTAAACCCTACTTCTGCTTGCAATGGCAGATGCTGCATCTGAAATGAAGCCTGCTGCCTCCGTCCAGTGCTGCGAGGGAGCCTTGGTTGGATTCAACGGGTGTAGGGCTTCGGTTTGGGGGGTTAGGGTTTTGGGGATTTAGAGTTTTAGGGTTTTGGGGATTTAGGGTTTTAGGGATTTAGGGATTTCGGGTTTAGGGTTAAGGGGTTAAGGGATTTAGGGCTTCGGGTGTATTTGGGGGTGAGAGCTCCATTTGAGTAAGGGTTCATGTAGATACAATCCTACAGTAAGCACCATTCAGGCAATCCGTTTCGTCATTCCTCACTACATAATCGCGTGCAACTGGGTTCGCTAGGTAGGGTCTAGGGCTTTGTGATTTCAAGTCTAGGGTACCGGGAAGTTTTGGATTCAACAATGGTTTCAGCATGTGCCAGATTTATCTTTTTTCAACTTGAGCAGCTGATTCGGACAGTCGACTTCTAAATGTGTAACACCGATCCAACTAGGAGTGCTGACTCTTTTTAAAGGATTGATTACAATAGTACTCCCTCAAAGGTAACCCCCCAGGGTTTAAGGAGCTAATAAGGACTATAGAGGGTCATAAGGCCTAGTAGGGTTCTAAATCTGGGGGGTGTACCTTTGGGGGGNNGGGGGGGGGGGGTACTATTTTGTAATCCCTTACTTTATCGTCACGTGCCTCAAACTACCACAGACGTGCAGCTTGGTCACTAGCCCAGTGAGAAGAACGACAATCGGGCGAGTTGGGTCAAAGCCTTGAAACAACAGGGTGAGCTAAGTGCGCAGCATTTGGCGCATGGACGATGGGAGTGTCCAAAGATTGGAAAGATGTCACTTAAAGGATTGCCTACTCACGCACCCAATATTGTAGTATTATCCAATATTAAAATAGAATATATAATTTCAGTACTAACATATTGCAATATTACAGCATGGTTCTACCACATCCGCCTAGTTCACATTACGCGTAGTTAGAGCCGGAACCTGCGAAAAGCTCGACCTACAATCACACAAAGCCATCCCCACACCCTAAAAACCCTAAACC